TCTGTCTTTCTACCAATCAATGATACTTGAATTGTTATTTTAATCACACCATAGCAGGTAAGTCATAATGTGTATTATTGGTTACATTTTTATAATTTAATCTGTGTTTCTCTACCAATTAATGATACTCGAACTGTTTTTTTTATTACTTAATAGTCAGTAAGTCATATTGTGTATTATTGGTTACTTTTTTAATCTATCTTTTTCTACCAATCAATGATACTTGAACTGTTATTTCTATATAATAGACAGTAAGTCAAAATGTGTATTATTGGTTACATTATAAATTTTCTTTTACACATTATCAAAATTACTTGAATTGTTATTTTTATTGCACAATAGCAGGTAAGCTGTAATGTGTATTATTGGTTAATTTAATTTGTCTTTTTTTACCAATCAATGATACTTAAACTGTTATTTTATTACACATTAGAGAGTACCGGTAAGTCATAATGTTTTTTTGGTTACATTTTTATAATGCAATTTGTCTTTCTTTACAAATCAATGATACTTGATTTGTTATTTTTATCACACATAGCCAGTAAGTCATAATGTGTATTATTGGTTACATTATAATTTTTTACTCATTATCAAAAATACTTGAATTGTTATTTTTATTGCACAATAGCAGGTAAATCATAATGTGTATTATTGATTTTTAATCTGTCTTTTTTCTAAACCAATCAATAATAACTAAAATAATACAATAGGAAGTAAGTCACTTGTTTTTTACATTTTAATTTTTATAATTGGGTTATCTTTATTATTAATTTTTGTTATCATTCTCCATATATGGCTAGTTAAAGGGACCATGGAGACTAAAATATTATTCAGAAAACCTGTTTCTGAAGTTTTACAGTTTCAATATAAATTATTATTTGTAAAATTAATTGTGCTTCTCTATATACCTTTCCAATTGAATGATTAAGTACTTCAGTTTTAACCTATTTTTGTTGTACACAAAAGATAGAAATCTGGAAACCCTGAAACCAAAACGAAATAGTTATGCGTTTGGTTTTTATGGTTTCAGGTTTCTACCTTACAGCCTGTTGTATGTACACTATGTACCTGTTTGGCATTTTAGTTTTGTAATTTTTGGGTTTCTACCTTAGAATCTGTTGTATATGTACGTGTTCGTGTTTTTAGTTTTGTAGCTTCAGGTTTCTGCCTTAGAGCCTTTTGTATATGTACGTTTTTGGGTTTTTAGTTTTGTGGTTTTCAGATTTTTACCTTAAGAAGTTTCTGCATACAGCTAGTGACAACCATTCAAAAGAAAAGTAAATTTAACAATTTAATTAACCATGATTTATTTTGTTTGAGTATATCTAGCCTTAATATTATTCCATCTTTTTGTAATTCTGCGAAGAAAAAAATATTGGTGGAATTTACCCATCATAGTATCCCAGAAATCATGTAGACTATACCTGAATTGTAATTAAATGTAATGTGTTATAATGTATATTTGTAGTAGATGCATTTTAATTACTTTGTTTGTGAATGTGAAACTATTTCCTAATACGTGTCCTAGTATATAAATTTTTGATTTCCTTGTTGTTGGTTGATCTTTTGATTGTTGATAATTGTTTTACAAGAGTAAATTATCATAGTACTACACCCATAAATGCCAGTATCTTCTTAAAGCGACCCTACCAAGCATTACGATGCATTGTATTAAAACTGGGATGTTTATTTTTTAACTGAACTGCATGGTATTCCACATGGTTCTCTTTCCTTTTGTGATTTCTAATATGAAGAGAATCAATTATTTTACAGACATGTAGCCAAAATGTATTGTAAATCATCTGGTAATGGGAATGGTTCTTTTGCAACCTTCAGGCCGGGTTATCCAAATTACACATAATTGTCATATAAAATAACAACTTCTCTAATTTGCTCTCTGGTGTACATGTACAGCAATTCGAAAGCAGAAACCTGAAAACTGGTTCAAGCATGTCAATTGAGCATGCTCTAAACTGTAAATGTTGTGGCTTTCCATCTCTGAAACATAATGAACTTTGGGATACAACTGCTGATCTTCTAACAGAGATCTGTCCAGATGTTTAAAGGGTAACTCAACCCAAAAACTTTTTTCGCAGAAATAAGTTGGTAATAAAGAAAAAATCATAGGAAAAATAAGTAAAATTATCAAAAATTACTATTTCCATACTAAATCTTGGGTCAAAAGTTGCAATTTCTTGCCTTGCAGCCATTTTGTCAAAAT